CAATCACAAATTTCTTGATAATTTTCGATTGGTTGATTTTAAAATTAGTGCCGAAATCTACACTGAGAAAAATATCCTATATTGAATCAACAGAATTTCTGCCAAAGGCATAAAAATTATTGATTCAAAAGCATATGCTATACACTGAAAAAAGGATTTGGTATTGACAATCAAACGTTTGGTTGGTATATAAGCAACCAAAATTTTTTTGTTGGATCAACAAAATTTTAATTGTCTCAATCAAAATTTGTTTGACACAACCAAAGTTAGAAAAAAAGGATTTTTGTTGTCCTAACTATAAATTTTAATTGGGACAACCAAAATTTTGTTGATTCAATAAAAAAAATTTTGTTGCTTAAATACCAACCAAATGTTTGGTTGTCAATAACAAACCCTTTTTTCAGTGTAGAATCTATATAATATTTTACAAATTTTATAGCATATGCTTCAGAATCAATAATTTTTATGCCTTTAGCAGAAATACTGTTGATTCAATAGCATATTTTTCTCAGTGTATATTTGTCAATTTTTTGTTCGGACATTTGTAGTTTCGGAGAAATTAAAAAGCCTCGGCAAGCCCCATGCAAAAAATGCCCCTTTTTCGTACCTCGAATTTTGAAACTTTTTTTATGCCTAATGGTTACATATGATGACCCAATAATCTCTGCAAAATTTCAAGATGAGCATTTTGCCCCCTTTCCGAAATACAGGGGGTCAAAGGGGGCCATGTCCAAAAATAGAATATGCAATATAATCGAATAATAATGTTAAAAAAAAATCAGACAAAATGGTTCCCTTAAGATTTTCGTCTGATGATTACGAATCTAAAGTCCGTTTTCAAAAATTCAAAATGGCGGATCCAATATGGCGGACAACAATTTTAAAAATCGATCCAATTTACTTGAAAATCGTTACTCGGGGGTTTTTGGGGTCGCTGATTACGAATATGATGTCCGTTTTTAAAAATTCAAAATGGCTGATCCAATATGGTGGACGACATTTTTGAAAATCGATCCAATTGACTTGAAACTTGTTACACGGGGGTTTTTGGGGTTGCTAATTACGGATATGATGTGCGTTTTTAAAAATTCAAAATGGCGTATCCAATATGGCGCAACACTTTTTTAAAAATTGACCCAAATTGCCTGAAAATCGTTACTCGGGGGTTATTGGGGTCGCTGATTATGAATCTAAAGGTGGACTAACATTGAAAAAGCACTAACTTCATCTTACCTTTGTTAGTTGGATTCTTATTCCTTATCTTTGTTGATCGGGTTGTCGATTACATCTTGCGTTCATTGGTTGGGATACTACGCTTTGTTTGGCAATTTGGATCAATTTTTAAAATTGTTGTCCGCCATATTGGATGCGCCATTTTGAATTTTTGAAAACGGACTTTAGATTCGTAATCAGTAGACAAAAATCTTAAGGGAAACATTTTGTCTGATTTTTTTAACATTATTATTCGATTCTATTGCATATTCTATTTTTGGAAATGGCCCCCTTTGACCCCCTGTATTTCGGAAAGGAGGCACATGCTCATCTTGAAATTTTGCCGGGATTATTGGGTCATCATATGTAACCATTAGGCATAAAAAAAGTTTCAAAATTCGAGGTACGAAAAAGGGGCATTTTTTGACGAGGCTCTTTTAGCGTTTTAAGAATTAGATAAAAATTTATATGTAACCGATTTTTTTCGCCTAATTTCGATTTTGGATTTTCGGCTATAATTAAAAAAATTATTATTTTTAATAAAAATTCTTTCAATATAAATTCTGTTAATTGAGAATTTTCATTTAATAAATATAAATTCACTGAGGTGAAATTTTATTTATTGATAATTGTGTGTGAAAAAAAAATATTTATATATATATAAATGTAGGTATATAATTTTTCACATATATAAAATGATTGCGACACGCGTGTGTCGTTTCACTGTGCGACGTTTTCATGCGAAAAAAAACAAACTGCGGTTAACGAGGACACAATCAGTTTTGCCCCCAAGGCTGAAACTATAGACTTGTTATAAGATATTTTATTATCGAAGAAAGGGGTACAATTACTGTACACTTGCACCTCAGTTACGCGATATATGTGTATATTGTTTTTTTTTTTCTTTTTTTTAAATCTTCAAACTCTTATTTCATCATAGGAATATGTTCTTTATTATTTTTCGCTGAGACCGCGAGACATATGACCTTTCTTGTTAAGCAAGTTGAAAGTCATCAAATATCGTCGACACATGAATTTTTTTAATTATTTTATCAATGAATTCTTTTGGTCATTTATGTGTATTTTTTTTACAATACAAATATTATAGAGTGTTGCGAAATTGATTAATTTCATATTTCTTTTCATTCATTTATTCATTATTATTATTATTATTATAATAATTAATTATAAATGTTATTTAAAACTGCCGAGTGATAAATTCAAAATAATATAAAAATAATAATAATAATTATTATTATTATTATTTATGTTATAAACAGATCCCCCCAGTTTTGATTTAACCGAATTTTTTTTTCTAGAAATCTTAAAACGCCGAATTTTCTTTTGACCGAACAAACATAATCTATATAAAAAAAAATTTCGATGAATTACTAAACATTCAATCAGTCGCAATTTTTCTTGTTAATTTCTGATTCGTCAAATTTTTTAAAACGCAAAAAAAAAATTTTTTTTAGATTATGTTTGTTCGGACATTTGGAATTTCGGTCAAATAAAAATTCGGTGTTTTAGGAATTTCTGAAAAATTCTGTTAAGTGAAAATTCGTTTTAAAAATGAAATTCCCCCAAATGCTAATTTGAAAAAATAAAAATTCGTCTATAAAAAAAAAATTTGGATCGAAAATTAAAATTCTATATAGACTAAAATTCTTTGAAATGAAAATTTTTACTAATGACATTTTTTATATGTGATAATCATGCACCTCTAAAAAATATAAAAATACAATTTGTTTTCTCCATAATAGATGATATTTAAAAATGCATTTAGTAAAAAACAATCTTGAAAATGATTTTTTAAAAAAAAGAAGTTTTAAGAGAAAAATTTCAGGCAATAAATTATCGTAATAATTTAATACAATCTTAATTGTAAAACTGGTATCTATACGATTTATTGTATAATAGTTTGTATTTCTATAATATATGCGCTTAGCATCCTAATGTATACTGAAGAATTGTTATTTCATATGTAGAAAGTGTTGTTATACTGATAGTCTCCGTGCGGCTCTTGGGATAAAAAGTTTGTGGCATGTTTTCGTATATATTAAATACATAGTGAAAGAGTAATAAAAACGATAATGTCCTGGCATTCCACAAGAAGTTTCTGAGGTTTCATTTATATTTTATATAAATACCACAAATGAAATGCCTCTCAGTTAAAAAAAAAAAAAAACCAAAAAATTTCCTTATTTTTCCAGATTTCATAACCAAAACGAAAATGCGGTTACTTACTCAAAATTTTAGAAATTGTTTTTCATTTTTTGAATTATATTAATCAGCTGTTTTGGCTGCGCGCGACGTTTTTCATGTGCAAGTAATACCAACATAATTCTCAAAAGTGAGGTTATATTTACAATATTTTATTTGAGTATCATGTTGGTACCATTGACTGGAAAATAAGAAACGTCGCGCGCAGCCTTAACAGTTAAAAAAAATTAATAAAAAATAACAATAACAAAAAACAATTTTTACAAAATTTTGGAAATTTAACAGCAAAAATTATTTGTTTACTAATTTGGAACGCATGAATAAATTCTAAGAAGCAATTGTTGAAATTTTCATTTAATAAAATTTTATTGTATATTATTTCCATTGAGAAGAAATTTTATTTGTACTAAATTTTAATTGATAGAATTTTTAAGACGCCGAATTTTCATAGGTCCGAAATTACAAATGGCTGAACAAACAATCGACAGGAAAATTGCGCCAAAATCTTTCTGTCGATTGTTTGTTCGGTCATTTCTAATTTTTGACAAATGAAAATTCGGCGTCTTAAAAATTCAAACAAATGCCCCGTAATTTTGAACAAATTCTTTAGAACCCGTGAGGAAATCTTCCCAAAGTCGCCCAAAGTGAGACTAGACGCCCAACTTAGCTTCTCAAAGTTTGAAAAATGAAGAAATAAAAGAATTAAGTTGATTAAATTATTATTTAAATAATATCACAGGCACACAAAAAGTAAAATGTGATTTGTCCGAGACACTACACTAGTCTATTTTCATGTATTTTTTCACGTGAATCCGAATCCGAAGTCAGAATTATCAGATTGGCTTTTATTTTTGAGATAAACTCAAAAAACTGCTCAGAAAGAAAAATAAAATCAAAAAGTTAAAAAAAATTTTGAATGTCACTGCGATAGTGTAATTCCATGTATTTTTTGTCGCTGAATTCGAATCCAAAGTCAGAATTGTTAGATTCGCTCAAATTTTTGAGATAATTGCAAAAAAACCCAAGTAACAAAAAACTCAAAATACTCAAAATCAGTTTTTTGGAATTATCTTCAAAATTTGAGCCAATCTGTCAATTTTGACTTCGAATTCGAATTCAGCGTAAAAAAATACATGAAAATGCACTATCGTAGTGTTTCGGCTAAAAAAAATTTCTTTGAGCTAAAATCGCCAAAAACTGATAAAAATTCTGAATTAGAGGGGCCCAGTTTGAGCGTTGTCCACTTTGGACATTGGGAAACCCAGTCTGGCCCCGATTGGAGCCCAGTCGACTTTTCCACACGGGAAAGTATCAATACCATCAAATTTCATATAAATTGATTAGGTTACAATACAAGAAGTAATAAAAAGAAAAATACTGCCGGAATGGCAAATGTATATACATATATGTACCATATATCCAGGAAAATGGGAAGAAGAATAAGAAGAAGTTGCGCTAGAAATGCGCGCAACTTTAATGTATATAGAAGCTTTGCACGTCTAAAGATAGCTTGAGGCTTTGCTGTAACGTTACGTGTCAAGTTAATGTTTTCTCTCTTTGCGCAGATAACGGATCGTCCAGGAGAGTGTTTGCGGCTTGACGAAGCCGAGTGAATTGTAAAGAGGAACGAGCTGGTGACCGGAAATAGACAACAGCAGTAAGCAGAATGGGTGAACGACGTGGTACCAAGGCGCTTGAGCTCTGGTGCAGAAGGATAACGGATGGTTATCCTGGTGTTAATGTGCAAAATATGACAACATCGTGGAGAGATGGACTGGCCTTTTGTGCAATGATTCATCATTTTCGTCCTGACCTTATGTGAGTACATTTATTAATTATTTTCTCTTTTATGTTAAATTTTTTTTTTTTTTTTTTTTGTTTCAATGAAATTAAAAGACTTTTACTTTTTGCCATACAGTATACATTATATAGTGTTTGCGGAAAATGCAGAATACCGAATATTTAGTTGAATTAAATATACAATATTATTTTCATTTAGCCGAATAATTCTTTTGCCTTTAATTTCTAAGTTGCTAAATTTTGATTTAGTTAAAATTATATTTAACTGGATTTATATTTGACAGAATTTACATTTTAGCAGAATTTATATTTAACAAAATATATATTTGACAAATTTTATGTTTACACGAATTGTTTACAGACGCTAACTGATGTTTGCTATCGGATCTATCAAAATTAGTATAACACTAAAGTTACATTTTTTGCTATGACATATAACGAAAAAGTTTGCTGTGTTAAACAATATCTTAATTTTTAAAATTTTATTATTATACAGCAAACTTTTTTGACCCTACAGAACATTTGTTTGCTGTCCCTATATTACTCTCTAAATCTGAATTAGTAAAAATGTTTACTAATTTAAATTAGTGACTCACTTTTTGCTTCAGAATTAGTAAAATTTTACTAATTATTAGTAACTTTTACTAACAATTAGTCAAATTTAACTAATTCTAAAGCAAAAAGTGAGTCACTAATTTAAATTAGTAAACATTTTTACTAATTCAGATTTAGAGAGTATAGCTAACGTAATTTGATGTAATTTTATTTAACTCAATTAAATTAAATTTCTGTTTTATTGAAATTTGGTTAGACATTCGGTGTATTAAATAAAAATTTCATAGAGTAAAAATTCACCCACAATTTGCGCTTCTATTAATAATAATAATAACAACAACATTTTTTTTTGATTCCGCTTCATGAAATTTGTCATTAAATTCCCAAAGAGGTTCTATTTTTTCTTCTTTTTTTTATCTTTCGTGACATGTCATTTTCTTGTCTTATGGAGAAAGCTTTAAAAATAATGTGAGCATTATATATATATATATATATATATATATATATATATATAGTGGGAGAGAGGATTATCGTTTAAAGCTATATAGTTCTTTTCTAAAACGACCTTCTTTTCTGCTCGCTGAAAATAATCCAAATGTGGGGACAGATAGAAGCAATTTCACGCTAAGAGTAAATAAGGCGGTAAAACTCGGCAGAGAAAACAAGTGGTCATCATTAAAGTCGTATGTGTCGTTATATATATATATGTGTCTGTGGGGGAAAGGGGGCTTCGAGGGAGCAATAGAAAAAAAAAAAAAAGAAAAAAAAGTGCTGAGTGCAAGGAAGAGTTGTGAGGAGATAAGAAAGCCAAAGCGGCTTCTGCGAGTGTAGGACTCAAGTAATGAGCAAGAGAGGAAGCGCACTCACGTGCTCTTGTCTATACGCATTATTTAGTAATAGAAACGACTTGTAGCTGTAGAATTGTAGTTATATATATATAGTTCTGTATTGAGTTGGTGTAGCTGTTCGGTCAATGACATCAATAGCTGGCACTTACATATATATATATATATACTTTCTGTCTTATTTCTTTGCCTTTGCATCTCCTCTGACTCAACACTTACGTAATTCAAACACTCGATTCGCATTACGTCAATAATTACACTATGTATATAACTGGATTGGAGCTTTTTTTTATAAATGGGTGTCTTTCCAAGAAGCGTACAATTCCATGTCGCTTGTATACAAGGAAAGAAAAAGTTCAGTAAAAAGTCCTGAAATAATTCAGTAACTCTGTATACGAGAGAAAAATTCAGATATTCATGAATGTTCAGTAAGTTCGAAAAATTTCCGGAAAAATCTCAAAATAATTCAGTAACTTTTTCTTTCAGTACTTTCTTCAAATAAATTTAGTAGTTTCTTCAGAAAAGTTCGCAAAATCTTATAAAAGTTGGAATGAATATTTCTATTTACATTGATAACTTTTCATTTTGCTCGCTATGGAAGACTTCAGGATTTGAACCTGAAAAATTACGGAACTCGGAATTGACTCTGATGCGCAGTTAATCATTGCCACTGTGTATTCACTCGGCATACAGTTTCTTATAGATTTCTACTAAAAAAAACAGAAGTTATGTACCTGTTTTAACTCAGAGGATACACACCGGATTTCTGTACCTAGAGACGAGAGTTCAAATCCGCCTGCAGTGAAATTTTCTCTAAAATTAAGTTTCTGCTTTAGATTCTTAATAAAAATTTTTTCATGTGTATGTTATATTAATAATATATGAGTTTGTATTTGATCGCTATATATAAATTGTCAAGTGTGACATTATAGTTATGTCTACGCGTGTATTTACAAAAAAATGTGAGTGATGAAAGGAGAAACACAGAAAAAACTTGGACTCATTTTTGTTGCAACTCATTTTCTTTTGGGTATCGAAATGAGTATGGGACAAATTTCATGTTATTCAAAATGATATTGGCTGGAATTTCAGATTTCTAAGTTGGCATCATAAGCAGAGTAATTTTGTATTTCAATTATTGTTTCTAATATTTCAACAACACCAGAAAGATTATTTTGACCAGTACGAATATTTAGAAGTTTTTAAATAAAAATTATTTATTATTATTTACGTAGATAATAATTAATTTCATAAGTTTTTAAATTTACCGCTATTATTTAAGTTGGCAGTACCGTTCCTGTTGTCAAAACACATGTTTTCATTTTTCTAACCTAAAAACATATTTCCTTTATTATTTTATTACGCGATTACAAGCAATTTTTAATCAAATATATTAAGTCTAGCGTGTTATTTACTTCTTTGTAATTATTATATTTCATGTTTTTGTGCAAAATTATTCGTTATTTCACAATATTTTTCCATTTTTCTTTTTCTCAAAATGAAACTTGCCTGTTTCATTTTGATACTTTTACCTTAGAACTCGAAATGAAACAACCAGTTTCATTTTTGTTGCGAATCAAATTGAGTATAGAATCTATACTCAATTTGAATTCAGGTTTTTTCTGTGAACAGAAGAAAATTTTATTCGTCTTTCTTAGCTAATAATTTTTAGAAATAGTTCCGTAATTTTTCATATGAGGCTTTATAAGAAATTCATGTAGTAACTCGTCAATAAGTACCCGTGTAGAAATGTCCCTAAGCTTCCCAACGTGATAATGGATTCCGACTAGAACCGCGCTAGAAAATCTAGCCTAGAAAAGTCCTACTCGAACCTGATTAGTTTCTTGTGAGAAATTCAGACTAGAAATATCTGCTGAGATCCCATTTGAATTCTAGAAAGGCAATTCAAACTAGAAAAATCTGATTAAGCCCTTACAAAATTCTAGCCAGAAATACCTCGAATTGAACTTAGATTATTTTTCGATATTTTCTTTATTTAAAATAAGAATTTAATTATGTTCAATAAGGGACACAAATATTTTTAAAATGTTCGTTTTAGAAATAATAATAAAAAGAATAAATATTAATAATAATAAATTATAATAATAAAATTATTAAATAAATTAAATTTATTATTAAATAACACCGAGTGACAGAATCAAAATAATATTAATAAATTACATTATTATATATAGTTTAACTTTTTATTTAATTTAAAAATAATATTTAAATTTAAATCGAAAATATCGAAATCGATGTATCGAAGTTTTCAATATATCGATGTTCCATCGTCGAGAATGATGACATGAATGGTGCAAGTGCACATGTCATTTTGTGTGAACCTGAATTTTACTGTTCTTTTGTTAATTAATAATGGAAAATAATGAGAGGAAAAAAAAGCAATCGCGAATGCGTAGCAAACAATATCGTGAGGTGAAATCCATACGCGCTGAATTAAATAGAATGCAATATGTTCAAGAGCAAGTTATGGATATTGACAATTTAGATGACTCAAATCACTCATCTTCTTTATCAGAAAGTAAATATTAACATAATATTATCAATTTAAGAATATTTAATATTAAGCCAACAAACATGAAATATGTACTTAGAATATTTAAAAATAAAAAATATATTGATTGGTTTTCTAACCTCAAATTTTGTCTTTATGTTAATATCATTATTGCAAATTTTTAATGTTTACTATGATTATTCCAATTTCTTCAGGTAATATTATGATTTCTAACTTTTTTATTTATAATTCTGGTTAAAATTTGTGTTAGTACTGTTTGGAGGTTAGGAAGTTCAATTAAACTTCACGGCTATAATAAATAGCATAACGGGCGTTTTTAACTCTACAATTTCAAAAACACACACGGAAGAAAAGACGTTGGATCTTTATATAAATATGTTTTTTGGATTTATTAAATATTTATTAATTTTTATTTAATAATAATCGATTAAAGGGAGCTAATAGGGTTCCAGCGAGAACCCTTTACTTCTGGTAGGGAAATCGCAGGGATATCCCTGCTAGATCCCTACCGGGGATAAGAAAGTTTCTTTAACATTTCTGAAAGGGACTAAGCAAATTCTAATTTGATTTCTTCTTGAATTATTAATGTTCATTTTAACAAAAAATGAGAAAATATTTTAGACTATATATCCAAAATATTTGATTACTTATATTTAAACAGATAAGTTTAAAAATATCCGCGAAATTATCGCGATATCCAGAGTTACTCAACTGAGTTCCGTAATTTTTCCTGAATCTTTTCTTTCCGTGTAATTTAATTTTTGTTAAATTGTACAAAAAAAAATTTTTAATAACAGCAACAACTAAATTGCACGCTACGCGGAGAATCACGAATATTTAAAATTTTGTCGCGCACAGGCATGAAATATAGTGCCCCTTGGGTTTGAAAGTAAAATTAAATTAAACTTTAAAATTTCTTGTTTCTAATTTTCAGCAAAATTCTAAATTCTGTTTTCAGATTTATTTGTAAAACAAAAGTTAATTTAAATTCAAATTTTATATATATATATATATATATATATATACATTATTTCAGGTTTGGGGTAAACTTAAATTAGATTTTGAATTTCATTTTCTAGTTTCAA